CTCCCACTTTAGAGGTACCCCGTGAATTTGTCTTCTATCTCTTGCATTTGCTTATTTCATTTCAACTTCTATGCTGTGTGTGTGTGTGTGTGTGTGTGTGTGTGTGTGTGTGTGTCATGGGACAAGTGTGTGTATGCTATTAATTAATGTGAAATCCATTATGATATGAATAAGTTCGCACGTGAATATATATATCTGAAGTCACTCATTACTGCAGCCTAAAATAGCGTGGCTAGGAATCTCTAATGCCATCTTTTAATTGATCTGCATATTTTTTTAAGATGCACTAATTAAAGCCAGTGAGTTAACAACTGAGCAGATTAATTTGGTGTTACAAAGTTGCTCTAGTTATTTTCTGATTATTTAGTTACCATGGCAGCCAAGTTTGTCAGTTAGGGGATAGTGACATTTCAAGATGTCATTCCAAAAAGTGTGCATATTGTTGAGTTCTGAAAGGGGGTGTTGGCGCCGCAGTGTTACTGGAACCGCCTACTTTATATATATATATATATATATATATATATATTGCGATTCTATGTCTCTTCATTCAGTCTTGTTGACTCAAATAGAAAATTGACTTAATTTGCGCCTAAATACTCTCCGGCGCACCTCGGACTTCACTTAGTGTGGCCCACATCTGACCTGCATCGTATAAACACGCAACACACGTTTATGTGCTGTGTATGTGTTGTTGGAGTGAACTTTCTCTTTGAGGCGCCGTGTGTGTTTTAAATTGCGCCCTGAGTAGCTATTTTACTCGTTTTAATTGAGCGCAATTTGTCTTTAGTGGCTAGAGGACATGCGAATGTACATTTAATAGTACTGAGAATGTGGGGGGGGGGGGGTAATTTAAACAAATTTATTCTGTTATTAATTAATTACTCCACGAAATGACATCTCTGATCGCGATAGCAGGTAACGTCTTTTTACTTATTTCGCTCGGCGATTAGGTTGCGTTTCTGCTCTAACGAGTTGCAATTGATAATATCTTTTTTTATTCAGAATAGATGGGATTAAGTCGGTTTCAATCCGATTCTGACAAATACATGTAATTTAGTAATCAGAATGTACATAAATTCAACGTAGTTCAAATGTCCATCTTAGTGTACTTTATCCTTATATTGAAGTAAATGTAATTTTTAATTTATGGGAATGATTGTTATTCTTCTTTAATAAACTCTCATTAAATAGATTAGATAGTCGCTTTCAGTTAATTAATGGCGTACGTCTGTCAGATTATTTCTTTATATCAAATGGCAGGCGTTTTGATAGTTATCATTAGCCCATTAGTTGACTTCAGGCTTCACAGAGGAGAAGGAACATCAAAGTGAAAAAGTCGATAGGGGGGGGGGGAACAGAAGAGTGTTTCAAATATGTAAAAGAGACAGACACAAAGGTAGAAAAAAGGTGAGGTGAGTACTGTGGAAGTAGTGGAATATGACATACAGAGGGATCAAGGTAGTTAGAAGTCAGAAGTCAACTGCCGGTTAATAGACTTTGCCGTATGAATATACGTTGCCCAGGGTGTACCACGTGAAGATAAGTCCATCGCACACCCCATCTGTCAGATTATAATTAGTTGCTTATCGATACAAATCAATTGAACTGTATAAGTGGTTAATTCTGATCAAAACGAGGGTCGATAGAATGCGAGTTTTTCGCTGGTGTGACTTTTGAATACCTATCTAATTAGGTTAGATGCTAAAAGTACTTCTTCTAATGATCTCGAAAGATCAATAGGGGGGGGGGGTCGGTTAATACGTTTACGTCAGAAAGTCTCCACCAGAGTCGAGTCAGTCATAAATGCAGACATCTTTGAGTTTTTTTTCCCACCGATCCCAATTATGGAAACTCTTAGGATGAAGAATATGGAGTAGATATCTCATTTTTGTTTTTATCTATTTTGTGGACTAAAACTGCCGCCTGTCATTCTTCACTAAAACAACTGTTTAGAGAGACGAAAGTTTTTCAGCCAATGGATTGATTAGTTGTAGTAGTCATAAAGGAGACAAAAAGCTAATGGAGGAGGATGCGGTGGTTTGTAGGTGTTTTGGAATCGAGTAACTGGTGTGTACAGTTCATAGAATATTATTTATTTCAAGTGGCAGGCGTTTTGATAGATATCATTAGCCCATTAGTTGAATTCAGGCTTCACTTAGGGAAGGTTCATCAAAGTAGCAGAAAGTCGAGGGGTGGGGAACAGAAGAGCGATTCACAGATGTAAAAGAAGCAGACAGACACAAAGGTAGAGAAAAAGGTAAGGTGAGTACTGTGAAAGGGGTCGAATATGACAACCAGGGGGGTCGTGGTAATTTGAAGTCAGAAGTCAAATGCCGGTTAATAGACTTTTTTGCCGTATGAGTATACGTTGCCCAGAGTGCACCACGTGGAGGTAAGTCTATCGCACACCCCGGTTCATAGAATATAGCAATTATGGGTTAGTATGATTGGTTTGATGCTGTTTTGTTTCAGACTCTTCTTTGTTATTGAATTCATCAACGGCGGTGACTTGATGTATCACATGCAGCGTCAATGCCGTCTCCCCGAAGACCACGCCAAATTCTACGCCGCAGAAATTTGTATCGCCATGAACTTCCTTCACGAACGTCAGATTGTCTATCGTGATCTCAAGTTGGATAATGTGCTAATGGATCTAGAGGGCCACATCAAACTCACAGACTACGGCATGTGCAAAGTGAGTGATCTCGAATGTTGTTACCCATTTTTTTCAATTCCTTAATTAATTAATTAATTATTCTCTAGGCAAGAGTTCACTTATTCAGTTGGCTACAGTTAAACATTTTTCGTGCTTTAATGAATAAATCGTTTTTGTTGGATTAGAAATAATTTTAAAACTAAGCTATCAACATATTCCCACACAAAGGATTGCGACTTTCTATCCAGTTTGGATGTTTATGAAATAAGATATCCTCGGGGTGTTATGGTTAGAATTCTCTATGAATCTCTACCAGACAGAAGGTTGTGAAGCCTTTGTTTTGTCGAAAGATGGGAAGGTGACTTAGACGTTGGCAGAATAGACAAGGGGTTGACAGTTTTGCAACTGAAAAGCTCAAAATCTAGTTGTTAAGCAAAGTGTGTGATGGTTACTACACTGTGTTACTTTAGTTCTTCCATTTTTCCCAAATTGTTATGTTAAGTATTGTGGCCATTTAATCGACTTTGAGAGTCAGCTGGACTTCTAATGATCTCTGCATTGAAGAAGCACTTTCCAATGCGGCAACCCTCGCTCATTTCTCCCTCACTAATTTCAAGTTTTCGTCTTTTTTTGTGTGTGGTTTTAGGGGTATCCTTTTACGTGTTTGGTTTCATCAAAGTTGGCATGGTGAAGAGTAAAGGGCATATCAATTCTCCTTAATGCTCTTAGTGAGATTCGAAATTTAAGAATCTGACCTCCTTAATCCTAAAAAACACGGAATTTAAGTCTTTGTCTTGTATACTTTCTCGACATTTTATTGAAAGTACACTTTGCTCAATCCCATGATAAATACTTGAAAATTCGAAGTTTTTTTTCTGTTTAAGACATTATCTGTTAATTGGTGTCACTCTCTCTTGACACCGCATACTCGGAAAAATTGAATTACTCTTCAAGCAATTGCAACTTACGCTTAAATATACCATTATGTTATTAAAATTCACTCTTATTGTCTTAGTGTATGGCATACCTGCAGTGATGGGCATATCTCTTATTTACTTTTTCGTTATTTCTCTCCGGTTTCATATTCAAACAAAAAAATATGAGACCACTTTTAAATGCGTTCAAAACGCGCAGATTTATTTCGCTTGTGCTTCCTAACTCTGTGTTGACTGTAGAATTCTTAATTAGCAAAATAAGTGGGCATTTTAGCAGGCGTGATTTTTCGCTAGTATCCCACACACACACACACACACAATTAAGTAATTTTTCTTAAAGTTTCTGTGTGCCTAAGTTCATTTTATTGAAGAAATCCATAAGGCGTGTTAATCACTCTTTCATGCTTTCTATCGCCTATTTACATACTTCAATCTAACCGTTTGTGTTGGCGCATTTCATACTCACTCTAGCTCTTAATTACATATTCCTATGATGACTAATTGGTGGGCTGTGAGTAACACTTTGACAACTCTGTATCCTTGCTCGAATATCTTTCTTGCAATATCTCTACAATTGATCGACATTTCGGGGGTATTGGTAGAAGCAGAGGCTGATTGTTTTGTGTCCTGGTACTTTCTCATTACTCGACATCTTTCTAATTGACAGTTTTCATCACAACGTGGGGGTATTAAGGGGGGGGGATTTGTTTTTGAATGGGTTTTCTTACTACTTGTTTACTGTCTTTGGTTATCATGATGCTACTACTAAAGTCGTTGGCGTATTTTATCCTCTCAAAGTCTGATTTCCTAAATCACTTTTTTTAGGAGGGCATCTCCGATACCAACCTCACGTCGACATTCTGTGGCACTCCCAATTACATTGCTCCAGAAATTCTGAGAGGCGAAAGCTACAGTAAGTACTCTTCTTTTCATCGATTGCTCTCTGATAATTGGTTGGTTGGCTTACTCTCTTGTGCCTGTGTGTGTGTGTGTCTGGGTGTGTTCTTTTGACAGAGTGAACTTTAATGATGTCAATTGTAACGCCATCACGTTGATGAATACTTTCTGAATTTTCATTATCTATCACGTGTTAAGCTGTTTGTTTTACTTGTTAGTACTTTAGCACTCATTGGACGCTTTAAAGTGCCAGCTTCAGCTCTTGAAGTTCTTTATCTCCTCATTATTTCTTTATTTTTTTATTTAATTTTTTTCCTCTCATAGTTGATTTTTTTATCTCACCTCACATACGAATCGTCTAGATGACTCCGATCTAATAATTTATTTTTAAATGCTAGTACACAATTATTTCCCAAATTAATGAAGTCTGTAGTTGTTTCATCCTTATCGAGTATTAAGATTTCCCAAATTGTCGGATTTATTTTATGGGTGGAGGGAGTTAGCTGAGAAATTTAAGGTCTTGGAACTATAGTTTTTTAGCAAAGTTGTCATCCCTCTAATTGGCCAAATTCTTCATCACTCACTTCTTTCTCCCTCTAAAGCTTGTTTCTTCTTTTGTTTAAAGTTAACTTTTCATCAAGAAACCTCAAATTACTATTCGCGTGTTTTTTATCCCTCCATAAGTCGTTCCTAATGACCACAACTTGTGCTTTGATTGGAACTTTTTTCCCGTTTTCGCCAGCTCGTGATTGTCGTCAGCATTCACTGTCCACGATTAAATATGCACCTATCGAGTTTAACCTCAATCACGTTGATCACGAAACAGCTTTCGAGTAGAAAATTGTGTGTGTGTGTGTGTGTTTGCCTTCTCCCTCCCTCTCCCTCTCTCTTTCAGTCCAAGCTTAACTACCCTTTTACGCGCATATGTGATTGATTTTAATAAAACGTCGTAGTTTGAAAGGGTAAAAAATTCTCAACAGCACTCGACTAGGGTAGATGAAAGGTGACCTAGGCGATTAGAATCAGCCAATGGCGTTGAACACGCACATCTCTGAATTCAAAAAATTCACTGATTAGTGAACTTTTCGTGTACTGCTTCCAGGTTTCAGCGTGGATTGGTGGGCACTGGGTGTTTTAATGTTCGAGATGGTCTCCGGACGTTCGCCGTGGGAAGGCATCGGTTCATCCAACAATCCCGACCAAAACACAGAAGACTACCTCTTCCAAGGTATGGCTCACTCATCCCCATTCTCTTGTTCGATTTGTAATAAACCCCTGTTAAATGCTTTTTTATCTCTCTAGTTATCCTCACAAAGCCTATTCGATATCCTCGGTCCATTTCCGTGAAAGCCAGTAACATTCTTCAGCGGTTCCTGAATAAGGTAAAAATCGAAACTTAATCGCTTCTAATGCCTCTTAATAGTCTAATAATTTAACAATTTTCAGTAATTGCAATAACTGTCATATCCTACAATTAGATTTTCGGGGAAGTTCTGAATTGTATTGGGCTTTCTGGTAGAGTTGTACTCACGAACGCGGTGAATGCCTTATCACTCAATCAAATGTTTGCCTTATTAACCAAGTTAATGGTATGACTACCACTGTTTCTCCTACCTTTACTAAAAACCGTCCTCCATCTCCTATTGGTGCCTTCTACAGCAACTCCTGTTGAGTCTGTTCCAATGACTACGTAAAATTGATCCCATAAAATTATCAACACATCTTTTCTACCCTTAAAGTGCTTCCAGCCCGACTTGCCAAAGTAGCAACCGGTCCCGACATCCAGTCGGATTAAACACCGGATAGGTCAAATATGCCTCCTGGGGAGGGGGGGAAGGTTATTGTACTCTTGCTTCTAAAAGACCTCATAAATTGTCCACTATGTTCAAGTCTCCAAAATGTCTTGATCTCTATGACCATCTTTGAATTAAACTCATGTTCATTTAGAGTCCTAAATTATCAACACTGCTATTGGGTTGGCAACTAAGTCATTGCCGTTTTTGTTGACGGATTCACTCTATACTTTCTTTTGTTTTGTTAACGTGGCCAGAGCATCTAACCTATATTTTTTTCTTACTGTATGGGCTTCTAGGTTAATTAGTAAAAAATTTTTTGTTTAGTTCTTTAGTTTTGTTTTTATCCCAATTTAAAAATGAAAGAACAGGACGTGCACTTCCGACACATTTTATTGTATTACTTCTGAAAAGGCAAGAACGCATCGCAAGCACAAAAGAAGTTATGTGCCGTATATGGAGATGAAGCCTTAAAAGAAAAGCAGT